AAGAAGATTAATAGGGTTTTTTTTTTTTTTTTTTTTTTTTTTTTTAAGAAACTTCCTTTATGTTTAATCAGCGTCCTTCAAACTTCAAATGTTATCTTACACCAATTAATATTATCCAAAAGCAGTGAACCGGAAAGCACTCAATTGGTATAATAATGTACGTTTATGTTTAATCAGCGTCCTTCAAACTTCAAATGTTATCTTACACCAATCAATATTATCCAAAAGCAGTTGAACCGGAAAGCACTCAATTGGTATAATAATGTACATTTAATACGTCATTCTAGTGTTAAATATATATATTTGCAACGTTCCTTATATCCTAATGTTTTCTGAATTTAATTTAGTAGTGAGATTATATTACACGTCTTTTTTTTCCCTTTTTAACGGAGAAGTTTTACCTCAACGTAACATGTATAATGTAGCACTTTTCATCTTTATACAGTATGATATGTACTTTTCAGCATCCCAACAAAAAATAGAAGTAAGCAAAAATATAGAATGAAACCTCCTCAAGTAAAAAAGGAGAACAAAAGACAATAGAAAGTAATTATAAAACATAAAAAATAGAGAAAGCATAGACAATATTGGTCACTAATTTCTCTCTTTTCAACGAATTAGAAATCTCAAATCTGTTTAACAAAATTTTCTAACTGGGCAACATGTAATCATCAATCGCTAAGTAATTGGCCAGCTTATATATATATATGGGACAGTTTGATAGTGCTCTAAATTTTAGAAAAATTAATGTTAATTATGCTGAAGGAAAAAGTAACTGAGTGTTTGATAAATTATAATTATATAAGTTGCTGGTTCCAAAAGCAGTATAATAGTGCTTAGTAAGTTATTCAATATGTATAATTATATAAGTTGCTGGTTCCAAAAACAACAACAACAACATTACATAGCTTCATGAATACTTCCTTATCCATTCTAAACATCCTACAACTTCTAATTTCATGTCCCCTTAATAATTCCATCACTTACATGTCCCCTTAAAACCCTATTTCCTTATAGTAGAAATACAAAATAATAATAATAATAATAATAATAATAATAATAATAATAACAAAATAACAAAATAACAAAATAACAAAAAAAAGAAGAAGAAACATAGGGCGCGTTTAGAACTCGTTTTAAAATGATTTTATTTTTTGTATAAAAATGAAAACGTTTTCAATCTCATACAGAAATCATTTTTAAAAATGCGTTTGGTAGTTTTATCAAGAGATTGTTTTCAGTGTAAAAAATCCATTAATGTCTCTCTTTCTCTCTCTCTGTTCGAGAGAGGAGAAAACAAAAATAGTCGTTTTTCATTTCTCTCTCATTTTACACTAAACTAAAAAATCGTTTTCATTTCTGTTTTTTGTCTTTATTGCGCTAAACGCTGTTTTAGAAACGTTTTCACTTTTACTTTCTCAAAAAACGTAAAAAATAAAAACGAAATCAATTCCAAACATGACTATAAGCTTTCTGGAAGAACTATTGATATTTGTAACAATGAAGAGGCAGGTACCAATAAATGGGCATCGGCGGTGGGAAAATCAGAAAGCATTGGAATTGGTGGAGAGATGTTCTGGATTAATATTTGTTAGGGTTAGACCGGACAAGAATGGAAGTTTTAGCATTTAATAGGCTTATTTAGAGTATTGCAAAAGTTTTATTAATTGTACTTCCACAAATTGTCGTACAATTTAAAATTAGAAATTGTCTTTGAGTTGCTTTTAATTTTGATTGTGAATTTTCTAAAAATTCTTTGAGAATCACTTTTTTATGATTTTTATGAAATATAAAATTCAGTTCACTACAAGAAAAAGGGGTTTTTGTGATGACAAAAAGTCGTCGCAAAAACCCCAATGTCGTCGCAAATATTAGTTTTTGCGACGACATGTCGTCGCAGATATGTCGCCGCAAAAAAATAGTCGCAAATACTTTATTTGCGACAACACAGTGTCGTCGCAAATACATTTGCGACGACATTTTTCTTTTGCGACGACGGTCGTCGCAAATACGCCGTTGGTTAATTTGTCGTGATATAATATTTTTTGCGACGACAATTTCAAAAAGTCGTCGCAAATAATTCAAATTTTTTTGCGACGACAAGTATAAAAATGTCGTCGCAAAAACTAAAATAATTTTTTTTTTCAATTTTTTAAAAAATGGCAATTAATTAATTTTTAATAATTTTAATTAAACATTAATCCGACAATCGGTTGCATAATTTTTGGCGACCTCAATAAAAGCAGATAACCCATTCCAATATTCATCCGACAATCGGTTCCTCAAAGAAGTCCAACTTTTGTTAATCGACATTTCAACTATAAACGACAACAGACATAGCCGGTTATTAATGTGTTCAATTAATTTTAATTTTATTCTTAATTAACACAATTAAGTTTTATTAATTAAATTGTGTTAATGAACTTATTAAAATTCTGGTTTCCTAACTAAATTTCGCCTAACTAAATTTCACCTAACTAAATTTCGGCAGCATAACGACTTATTTTTCACATAATCCAAAAATCAAAACCTGCAGAAAAATAACTTTAAAAGATTTCGGCACACCATAGCTGCAAGATGTGCCACCCAGAACAAGAATCATAAACATATACTAAATTTCAACATA